TTAATATCAAATTTATTTCACTACTTTGTTTAGAATAGCAGTGCTGCGAGAATCCTGATTGATGTAGATAAAAATGTAATGGATTGGATTGTACAATGTTACGTGAGAGGGCATTTGCAGTCTTAAGTGCAGAAGGCAGGGGCAGGGGTAGGATGTTGGTGTAGAAAGAGACCAGGGTAGAATTAACCTCCTCCTAATCAGTAATTAAGATATTTTGTAAAAGTGGCACGTTCGGCTTTACGTCTGTATTTGCACAGAACTATGTTAACTTGGCAATTGAAGTGTTGATGGCCTTCATCATGGTAAAATTTGGTATAAATTTGGTAGAAATCACATTGTTATGTTTTAGTGGTTATTGGCTTAAAGTGTGTGTTCATATAAAATTGGAATCAAACATCTGCAGCACCATATTACCTCTGTGTAACGCTAAGTTTCTGTGAAAGTTTGAAAAGCACAGCTAAGGTCTGTATACTCCTTTAAGCCATACAGTACATCAAACTCTTCTTTGGGTCTTTGGCTCCTAACACAAAACAGATGCTTAGAAAATATTTGTACTGTAATGAATGCCTTATTAAAATATGGTGCTGATTTTCTGCTTTATCTCTTAGGGCACCAGTGTCTTGTCACCTGGACTCCACATAGGAATAATTATTATACTGGCAATAATGATCTATAAAAAGTCAGCAACTAATTTGTTTGAAAAGCATCCTTGTCTTTATACCCTAATGTTTGGATGTGTCTTTGCCAAAGTCGCACAAAAATTAGTGGTAAGAAATTCTTTTAATTTATGATTCATGGTATAGTGTACTTGTTCCTCAGATGCAAAGCTGGAAACTATTTCATACACTGAGTAGGTTTTTTGTGGTGTTATCATCACAATAAACAGCTATTTGTGCTCTAAGTAATACTGTGAATGAGTTAGTGTTGGATTCAGAAAAACAGATTCCTTACTGTATAGTACAGTAGGTTCTGCATACCTACTGTATAGTAGGTTCTTTTAATTATTTATTTAGCAATAATTATCAATTATAACCTTTTGATAGCAAGGAATTTAAATATTGGAAACTTTAATAAGCTACCGAGTCATGAATTTGAGAAGTTTTAGATCCAGTATTCCCATATCAAATGCAAGATTAAATGGTCTCTTTATCTTATTTGTCTTAATAGTAAATTAAAGTTATAGTTAATTCTGTCCTGAAAATAAAAGCTAAAGCATTCAAAATTTAATAGTGAAATTATTTTGTTTACTTTTTTATAGATAGCTCACATGACCAAAAGTGAACTGTATCTTCAAGACACTGTCTTTTTTGGCCCAGGTCTTTTATTTTTAGACCAGTACTTTAATAATTTTGTAGACGAATATATTGTTCTATGGATAGCAATGGTAAGTACTTTTTTTGCTATGATTTTTACTTATTTTTAACAAGTGTCAGATAATACTATGCTTAAGAGTCATTTCAGTGAGATATCTGGTAGCTTTATTCTAATTTGTACAGTAAATGTTTCTGAACATTTAAAATTACTTCTTTAAAGCTTGCTTCATACTGTGTATGGAAATGGCCCACTTATCTGGAGATCAGGTTTCTAATAACCTAAATCCTTAAAGACACAACTGTGTACCTTAAAAAAACAGTACAGAGATGTCAAACATCACTTCATTGCCTGGCAAAGGAACAGACACTTAATAGTGTCTGACTTTTACTTAGTCAAGCTTGTTAGAATTATTCTGAGCTTATAGCAGATATCAGGCAAATTAGATGGAGCTGGTGTTAGCACTAGTACTAGTCCATCAAGAACTGTCAGCTAATAATGAAGAAACAGAACAGACAGTACTACCAAGAACAGGATTCTGGGACCATTTCGTGCTAGAAATAAGCAGCCCTACATGTCTGTACAGCCCTTGAGGATAGTGCAAAATTTTTATTAATGATGACTCTTTTAAGCATATTAAATTAAATTCTCATTGATTGCATCCTGCTTAAGGAAGTGATGTGGATAATACATATACTAATTTCTATTCAAAATGATTATAAAATACAGAATTACTGTACTGAAGAGAAGCTTTAGCCATCTGAGGAAAAGAAAATCATTGTTGATAACATTTTAATCATGAAAGTGGATAAAGAAGGCATTATTAAATTTTTTTATTTTATTGAGACATTCTCTTTGTGATTGGTCTTCAATTAATTGTGATTTTGGAAAATTTTGCTATATTTTTCCCTACCTCCGGACCTCACTGGCCTTCACCAAACTGTTAGTAATATACAAACACATATTAAAGTGCACTAAAAGAGACGTTGCAGTAAACCTTTTGATAATTTGAATAATCTCACACTGTTTGTTAGATGTAGGCATTTAATAAAGCTATATCTGTTCTGTGCATGGACTGGGATACATCTGATCATTCTTTATACTGGTTCTATAGTATACTTTTTTCCAGAGTAAATTAATAACTTATCCATTCAAAAGCCTTCCATTCTTCAAGTAGTGGCGAGATATAAATCTTGATCCTTGAAAGTTTCTCAGGCAGTATTCTAAAAAGTGTTTGAAAATCAGAGTAACTTCCTTTAATTTGCTATCCACTGTAAATTTATTAGGGCTCCAAAACAATCTAAATTTAAGAAATAAAGGGTGATTATTCAGAATATCTGAATATTCAATGTAGGACTTCTTTTAGTGAACTTAAGTATTACAAATAGAATTAACATAGTCTCAGGTATTAAAAATCCAAGAACCCAATTTGTAATGAGTGAGTTGGCCTGGTTTTACATCAGTGGTAGAAATTATGGTGAAAGAGTGAAATTCAATTTTTCTTTAAAACACTTTGTAGACCACAATTAAAAACAAAGAAGCCATTATGTGGACTAAACAAAACGTATTAGGTCCTGTGGCATCCTTAGGGAAAAGGTTCTTGCATCAGAAGCAGATGGAATTTTTCAAGTTAATGATGCTGGAGATTTTCCCTTCATGGGTGAGAATTCCCTCTCCACCACCCACAGAGCTGTGAGGCTCCTTTTTCTGAAAGGAAACATTTGCCCCTGGTCTCTGGGAGTGTTTTTAAGTAGTGTGTCTTCCTTCTTAACTTTGTAAAGAACACAAAATTTTGTATATGCCTCCTCTAAACTATGGTGTCTCTTCCAGGCCTTTACTTTCTTACAACTACTCTCAAAGGAGTAAGGAATAAGAAAAGTATGTGATGGAATGATTTCATTATAGCCCATTGTAGTAGAAAGTTTGTGACTTTGTTGCCCAGCAGATGAGTTAAAGAATGTAGAGTCAGAAGACTTGAGTTCTGTTGCTTTCCAGCTTTTGTATTTTAGTCTAGGTCTTTTACCACTCTAAGCCTCAATTTCTATAACTGTGAAATACCTTTGATATTCCAGAGGATTACAGTGAGGTCCAAATATGAACTATAAAATGTAATATTTTTGGTAAAGAATTTTTGGTTAAAGTTTGAGATTGAGGTTTGAGGGACAGAAAAATAGCTGCTGCTTCAGAAAAGATAGGCCATAATCCATCTTACATTTTCTTTTTTGCTTCTAAAGGTCATTTCTTCATTTGATATGATGAGGTACTTTAGTGCTTTGTGCCTGCAGATTTCAAGACACCTTCATTTAAATATCTTCAAGACTTCATCTCATCAAGCACCTGAACAGGTTCACGAGCATATTGACTAATTGCCCAAGGAAAAGAGGAGAAGCAGTTAGGGGAACCTATGAGTGAAGGAAATTCCCCCTTTGCAGGAGGCTAGTATACTATCAAATAAGGTTACATTTTAATATAAAACATTAAGACCTGTAGATTGCATTATGTCTGTTTCAGTTGTGAAGCCCTCATTGTGTATCAGCATTTTGGATCACAGGTATTATCAGAATAATACAACCTATAAATTAGAAACAAAACCAAAGAAAGAAATTTCATTTTTATAAGGATAAAAAAGTGAATCATTGTAGTTCTAAAGAGCAATCTCTTTGTCTCAGAAATCCTTGAAACACATGGGTTTTTCACTGTTGAAGGATTACATTAAAATTCAGGACTTAGAGGATTTTAGCCATCTTGAGAGTGATGCTTACTTTGACTGCTAAAAATTGGGAAGTGAGTTCATATTTCAAAAGTGCATGGATTGTAATACTGTAATTATTGAGTCAAATAATGTTATAAGTATTTTTATTAGCCATTTTCAAAAGAGGTATGTTAATTACAATTGAATAAAAGGAAATACTTGCTTTATTATACCAACTAGAATTTAAAAGAGCTACTGGAATTTTCTATAATTTGTATTTAGTAAAAGGAATTTATCTTACCAGTTCAGAAAAGCAAATCAGTCTTTACAGTGAGGGTCACTTGTTCTTAAATATTCTGGGTTAAACTTCATTGTCACAAAAAAGTGGATATTAAACAGTCCCTCTTGTGAAAAATAAAACAGTAGCTAAAGCACGGTTGACATAAGGAAATAAATATCTGTTATTCAACCACTAAGTACTTTATGTACTGATTCTTATCTTTCTACTCTCACTTGAAAGTATTTATATTGGTCATTATGAATAATAGAACTATCAAAAGAATCTTCGGTGATCTAAATCTTCAGACCCCCATATTATACTGTTTATAATTTTATCCAGTTCTGCAGACCATAAGCTACATGATGAAATAATTTAAAAAAGAGTAACAAACATGTACTATATTGTAAGAAAAAGGCATATTGGAAAGATCCAAAGTTGATATTCCTTAAAAGGAAAAATATACTTACGTAAATTTAGTACACAGAAAATACTCCGGAATACTTATTTTGCCTCTGAAACAATTGGTAAATTCAAATAAGGACCTTCTTAATTTGAATAGTACTTAAGATTTATATTTCAACATGTACTTTGGCTTAAAAGGGAAATCTTCTACAAAAGGCAGAAATTTAGGAAGTGAACAGTCCCCTTAAATGTCAGATATTTGTTAATAGTGAAAGATTAATTTCTTCCTGTATAAGTTATCAAAGTTAGAGAATTGGTATGGATTCATTTTTGAAAACTTGGGAAACCTAAAACTAAGATAAGGGTCGGTTATGGGGCAAAAATTAGAATTTAAAATATCAAAAAACAGGAGAAAATCACTCCTCTCTCATTCTATTGGGCATATTTTTTGTTTTGAATGGTTCAGTGAAAGCAGATTCACCAAAAAATAGTAATGTTAACTCCTAAATTTCAAACTTTGTCAAACAAACGCTGAAACAGTTTTAGTATTAAATCAAGTATTTCATGTTTTTCTGTGTTTAAAAATGTACAGTTTAAAAGACAGGGTATAAGCATTAACTGTTCAAGTTTGGAAATGAATGTAAAAATGTCCACATATTTACTGAATATTAAAACTGAAACAAAACATTCTAAGAAATTTATACTTAAAGACAGATGTGAAGTGCTTAAACCCTAAGTAATTAGGTATGTTAGTACTATGCTCTTAATCATTACTAAGGATATGTGGCATTTAATTGTGGACCAAGCCCAATTAAATGGCATTTTGGTATCTTTGTGGAAATGACATTCACAAATCCATGTCTTAAAACTGATATTTATATATCTTGTTCAGTTGTGTTAGTGGTTTTTAGCAGTTTAATTTATTCCAGAACAGAAACTTAAGTTGCTTTTAATAAATTTTATTAGTCAATAGAATAGATTTTCTTTTGAAATCTTTTCATTAGAATAGGCTGTGTAACTTAATGAATATGTACAAAAGGATGTATGTATAACATAGATTTTATGTTTTTTTCTGAAAGAAAAACATTAATCATCTATACTTGTGCTTTTTGAAGTGAAACAAACACACTGAAGCCAAAACCTGAAATTAAATAATCTTTATTGCTAAAAGTTAATTGACAAGTATTAGAGAGAAAAATTCACTATTAATATTAAAGAGCTGAAAGCTTGGTGGTACATACAATTTAGAAATTGCTGCTACTCACATAACTTCATATTTTATTTGGAGGTTAACAAAAACAAGGGCCTGCACTTAAGCTAACGATACACAAATGTAATGTTTTAAACGAATTTAAACCACTCTAAAGACTTACATGTCTCTTAGCTAATGTTATAATTGTATCATATTACTTAGGTTCAAGTTCTTCCTTCAAAGAGTCATCAGAATAACATGGATTGAAGAGACTTTCGAACGCTTGCCATCTCTTGCTGCTGCTGTTACATGAAAGGAGATGTTAAACATTTAATTTTTAGATAAGTGTTATACATATTTCAGCAAATAAAATATTTCAGTGCTTACATTACTCCTTATTTTTTAATTTTAAATAACTTACAGTTTCCATCATAATTTTTTTTTGCAACATAGCCATTTCTTTTCTAAGTTCATTTTGTGCACCAGTAAGTAGATTATCATGATTCTTCTCCAAGTCTTCCATACTCTACAACACAAAAGGCTAGTTCAGTTTCAAACCACTACCATTTTTCATCTCAGGTTCAAAACTTATAAAATTAATTTTCAAAAGTAGAAACTTTTTTAATAACTTTAATATTCAAATAGTACACATTATTTCAAATAAAAATTTCTAAGTAATACATGAAAACCAAAATGTCCACTGAAAGAATAAAAAATGTCAGACATGAATCAAATATTACTAAAGGAGGTATGATAGTAATGTACCTTCTCATTCGAAGAAGCACATAAACAAAAATAAGACAAAATTTTATAATAGGAATAGAAACACAAATTGCTGTAGCTATGTAGTATAAAATGGGGACTAATTCCAATTTAGTTGACAAAAGACTAAGATTTCAATAGGTAAGGAAAAAGTTAAAAATATTCAAGGATTATAGCATAAGCAAAAGCATGAAAGTGCAAAGTGAGTGAGTTCAGAGAAGTCAGTTATATCGAACATTTGGAATAATGGATGTATGTAGTAACTGAAGCATAAAGAGGATCATGTTATGGGTCGGGGTGGATCCTGAATACCTGAAAATTTAGAATATAAAGCTACCGAGTTTTTCAGGAGGGAAGAGATAATGTTTTCGGAAGATAATATGGCAGATCCATGAAGGGTGTGTTGGAGAATACAGAAATCAGTAAAGTGTTTTAATAGTATAAGCAAAGAATGATGAGTTTCTGAAATAGGGGAAGTAGCAGTGGATGTGAAGAATAAGGGAGATGGAGGAGTCAAATATAACACCAAAATTTCTACACGAAGCGGTAACATTTAGTGATAGCATTTAGCACTTTAGATTGAAAACAATGAATTCAAAATGGAAAATAGTAAGCAAATGCTTTTCCCTTAAACTTAGAAAAAAATTATCTTCTACTTACGCATATAAATTATAAGAATGTATTATGTTACCAAATACAACAAACCTTTATGAACTGCTCATACAGTTGTTTAATTGTTTTCAGTCTCTGGCTCTGAACAATTCTAGATTGTTGAAAAACTTTTTGTTGTTGTCGAAACATATTCTACAAATGTAAAAGAAAGAAATTTGGGTAAAATTTAGCAAAAAGTAATTCGACATTAAACTTAAAAGAAATAGTTTTTACATCAATATTTTTAAGATTTTGTTTTAACAACTATTATGACTGAGTTTAGATAATTTGTGTTCACCACTTAGATACAACAATAATATAATCCTACCAGTCATTGAACAGGGTATCTCAGCAGTACTCAAAACATGTCTTAATTCTTGTTGCTTTCAACATCAACACAGTGATCCTTCCAGTAATGCTGGTCTTTCAGTTTCTTGGCCTATTTGCTACCAATGACTACCTTACTTTAGCCATCCACTTATATACTCATACCCTAGATTTTGTCATTATCAATATACTAAACTCTACATTATATTAATAATAGCAAACTTCATATTAACAATCTGTTAGCTAGGAAGCAGGAAGCAAAGACCAACAGCTTTTATGAGTATGGTATGTGCCTGTACTTCTGGTTGACCATTCAGCAGGATCAAACATAGCCAGCAATGGGTGATGGAACCTGGCTAAATTCCATGGATGTACCATAAGGCTAGGTTCTCAACTCCTACTTGACACTTGGTTATAATAGATTAACCATAAAGCTATAGAGCTAAGCATAATACTAACAGCTAGTTTTTCTTCTTGTTCCTCAGCTTTCTGCACATCTATATCCCACTGCTGGAACAAAGTCAGAAACTGCTGAGAATATTCTTGGTTAAGCTTCTGCCTGTAAAACATTATAATGAATATTGTCATATTTCATATAAATATGGAAAAAAACTTTCAGAACAAAATTGATTTGACATAATTTATACTATAATAAATGAAGGAAAATTTTAGATGTGAAACCAAGAAGTAAAATTATGATTTATGCTGATTCCAGAAGTATTTTTTTTCCTAACTAGCCAACAGAAAAGCCTTCTCATGTGCTTTAGCTCCTGAAAACTGAGGAAGTTTTATTGTATATATAAATTTTCCAGAAAAGTCCATTTTATCTCCAGGCAATTTATTTTTCATTTTCTCCTATTGAATATAGGCTATAGTAAGATAGATTTCAATGAAGTTATTATATTTATCATATAAGATTTCCAAATAGAAATATTTCACACAATTTTCCCCCATTTTGGTACAAAAGTTATTTTGTACAAAAGAATAGTTAATTCAGCTAAAAAATACAAATTACATATAATACATAACTGTTTAACAATGTAGAAAAAGAACAGTTAACTGTCATAAAACTAATGGTTTATATGACATTTACTTTTTATTCAGCTAGTGTATTTCTAAAATGAGTTTTGCCTTTATAGTAAAAAAGAAAACACAAAACTCAGTTGTTATTTAAAAGGAGGAAAAGTTAATCTTTACTGATTTCTAGAAAATATATCTCAGGTCTATGAAAGAATTAGGTTATAGGACTAAAGGACTGAGAGGAAAATCAAGCCAAATACATTTTTTACTAGAGACCCCAGTAAATGGAAGATGATAGTACTTTTCATAATTTGCAGCAATGAATACTATGAAATAATACAAATGTGGTGGTGAAAAAACCCAACAACCTTACCTTTGCTCTTGTTGGGTTTTCCAAACATTTTCAATTTTCTGGTTACTGGTTTTGAGAGAAGCCTTGGTATACATTTCTAGTTTTTTTCTCTTGGCAAGAAGAGCCTTGTTAATATCAGCTATATTGAAAATAAATATTCATTAAATTTGATGTTGAATAAAATTTTATTCCTACATATTCAAATATGGATAAAGCTGGTTCAACAGTTTGGGAGAGATATTTAAAATTAAATTTTAAAACATGCATAATATCAAAAAGAAAGATTATTTGCTCGCTTTTTTTCTGAAAAAACTTTCAGTTATTGTTATCCTAATTCTGATTTTTTCCTAACTAGAGATATTTTTTTAATTTAGAGATGATTAAAAAGAGCTAATAAATGAAAAGAGTCTCAAGGACAGACTTTAATTTCTTCATGAGAAAACACCAATAAAGGCTAAATATTTCTTAATTTACAAAATACTCTCCAACTGAAAGAATAAATTTAGATGAATTATTATAGGAAATACATAAAACTATTTTTAAAAAAGAATCCAAAAAGTATAAAAATAAAGAATAAGAAAATGTTTTAAAAATACAGTCAGTGATACTTTAAAATATATTTTTACTAAAAGAGACAAAGACAAACAGAAAAATCTTAAGTATGTAGATAAATTCACTCAAGAACCCTTTTAAATACTTTTGTGGAGCTTTCTATAGGACATTTTTACCCATAAATACTGCATTTCATAAAATTTTTAATACTTCAGATAATGCTTTGCTAAACACGTACATAAGGGTCTACCATCAATAGTTATTTTTTCAGTAATGAAGTGACCTACATTATTATATAAATATTATATTTCCAATGTCCATCTGCAATAATAAATTTATAATACAGATTACAAAACAAGCATTTTGCCACTACCAATAGTGCAAAGCTTTCAGAAAGACTTGGATTTTATGAATAATCCATAGAGAAGAGCCAAATATTGACTCTTTAATAATAATATCCCCTAACACAGTTAATATAACTGATAATTTGACATACAATTTAAAATTTATGAACTTTGTACATCTTACTAGCAAAGTTGTCTGTAATTCTCTGTTATATAGCTTAACAATGTAAAACTAACAGTTATTTTAAAGGCTTCAATTTATACTGCCTCTCCTAAAGAAAAGAACACAAGAATGTCATAGAAAATAACTAAATTGTGAAAATGAAAAACTGACATATACAGATAGGTGTGTGTTTGCATCACTTACTCCATGAAAGTCCATACAAAGAAGGATAGACACTCCCCATCCATTTTTGTTCTACAATTCCACAGTCCATTAAACTCGTATAAAATAAAAGAACCATTCTTACCTCACCATTCTTAGCACCATTCTCACTCTTCATATCAACGATTAGAAAAGGCTAGTAAGGAAATCTATGAAGATGAATCACATATACTTGTGCAAAATCTTACACGAACAAAGCATTAAACAGTTTTATAGTCCACTAATTATCATTTCCTACTAAACAAGTTTTTTGGCTTAAAACAATTTTTAATACAAATGTCTTCTAAAACATACCTCCAAATTTTTCCAGCATATTTTGTACTTCACCACTGTGAAAAGATTACATTAAAAAGCTTTTAATTAAAGATCCATAAAATAGCATGCTCATTTTGGAAGAAACCTCACATACCCAGTATTTTATGTACAATACTCGTTAGATAACCAAATAGACTTTTCTTAAAGTACTTTATCTTACAGGTGACCATTGTTGGAGTATATTACCCCATATCTTCAACTACTGCTGCAGAAGTCCTTTTCTTCCCATGCTTGTCAGGTACCAGAGTCTTCCCTGCATTGACAATAAAAAATATACATATATATTTGAAATTAGGTATGCTATTTTGGTAATTTTAATAGAATAATAATATCTTAATTTTGAGGTCTTTTAGGCTTTCTGCCAAGGTAAGTTTTTAAAGCAGACATATAAATGCAATACTTTCTCTGCAGGTTAGATGGAATTAAATGAGGATCCAGGACCATTTTAAGAGAACAGTTTTGCAAGTCTTCCTGTGTTAATGTCATAATTAGCCATGTACTATTTATCAGACATTTTGGGAATAATGACTGCAAAGGCTAGAGATGCTATATAAGCTTCTCTAACTCCAAATGAGAAACATGAAGTACACGAAAAATACTTTACAAATAAAGCTTTATTATAGCTTAAAATGTAATGGGTTCAAAACAAACGAATTGCAGGACATGGTCACTGCCCAACAACATTAGATATATGGTACCTTCAGTAGCCTCCTCTTCTGAACCACTCAGATCTTTTTTATCTTCTTTCTCAAAGTCATAGGCTTTTGCAACCTGATCTTCCATGGATGTCTTCCCAGATTTCCCGGTATGTTTTCTTCCGGAAGGAACCATTTTTGGATGTTTTCTGATTTTTAAAAAATAGATCAAACATTATGAATCCAAAGACACCACTTAAATAAATAGGCAAATTTCAAAATTAGAGAGAGATACCAATAAAGACGGTCTTAGTTGAGTAACACTTTAAGAGTCTCTTTTGTTTTGTTGGATCAAAAGTAAACAGAAGAAAATGCCCCTGATTCTGGGGGTACAGTGATGGAGAGTCTGCCTCTGAGGACCCGGGGGGCGGGGCGGGGGCGGGAGGTAGCGAAGTTTTAGCCCCGCCTCAGCCAGATTCCTGCTACACTCGGGCAAATTTAGTTTTTGCATTTCAGACCCAAAGTGAAGTCGTAGTTTCTGACAGGATCGATTACGAGCCCGCCCAAAAGAAGTCACAGCAACAGAAATATAAAAATAATAAAGCAACAACAAAAAAAATAAATGTTCTGCGTTCTGTGCCGCGGAAAAAGACGTTGAGAAAGATTTCCACCACACAGGCCTCGAAGGCCAATAAAGGGGAGCCCTGGGTTCACTGGAATGGTTTCTGTGGCTTGGGGCGCACAAACGAGGGCCCACCCTCTTCCCTGCTGTCACCTGTCCACCCGCCCTGGCGTCGCGTCGTCAGAACCACCACAGCCCGCACCTTTCCGCCCGCCCCTCACCCGCTCACAGCCCTGCCCGAAGGGCGCGTCACTGCCCTCAAATTCCTGTCAGAATCCCCAAGTAGAGTCTGTGGGGAAGATTCACCTCAGGGGTCAAGAGTAGCCCGGAGCTCAGACACCCGCGCTGGACAAACGCTCCCCTCCTCACGCCTGAAAAACACCCCAAAGGCCGAGGGCCACAGTTACAGTCCTCCGGACAGGCGTCCCCACTGCGCCAGCCTCCCGGACCCCCGCACCCAACCTGACGCTTCCCCTTCGCTGCCGCGACGCTCCTCTGAGGAGATCAAAATTTGCGCGGGGAAAAAAGCCTGCCTGGCCCCGCCCAGGAGCGTCGCTGATTGGTTGGCTGTAAGGCGCATGCGTGCAGCAGCCCTGGGGCCCACCCCACCGGGCAAAAAGCCCGCGCGATGCTGACCCAGAGCGCCTTGCCGGCGGCAGTGAGTGGGTTATGCACCTGAAGTCGGTTGCTTTCTTGTGTCTCTTCGTGATTCAAGGTTAAAATTGTTATGATATTTTAATAATAAAGTAGCAAAAGAATATGTAATTTATGAAATATGAAGAACACACAACTTAATTTGTGAAGTAGAATTTTACCAGAACCCATTGAATCTCCTCAGAATGTCCTTTCCATCCCATCCCCCACCCCATTCCCTATTCAGGGATTTTTTTTTAATTATACTGAATTTTGTGTAAATCATTGGACCCTCTCATTTTCTAAGTTATTTTCCCCCACATACATGTGTCCTTAAACAACCCTGTTTAGTTTTGGATGTGTTTGGGGAGTACAAAAAGTTCTACCATATTCTATGCAGTGTTCTGCCACTCGCTTTTTAACATTACGTCACTAAAAGAATCTACATTATTACAGGTAGCCATAATTCTTTTATTTTCACTGCTGCATAATGTTACATTGTGCCTCTCTTCCACAATTTATTAATTGATTTTCTTGTCTGGGCACATGTGAGTTATTTTCAGATTACAGCTTATATAAACCATGCTACTATGAATATTCTAATCTCTTGCTAAAGTTTTTACAGAGTATCTGGGTGTGAAGTTGCTCTGTCATAGGCTAGATGCTATTACGTAATGCCAAGTTGGTTTCCAATTTATACTCCCACCAAATGAGTGAGTTCCCATTGTTCAATGTACTCATCACTTGGTATAGACAGATTTCTTAATTTTGCCATTCTAGTAGATGTAAAATGATACTTCTTTGGGGACTTCTTTTATATTTCTCCTATCAAGTTGTAAGATTAAGCTATTGCTATGCTTATTGGCCATTTGCATTTCCTTTTCCTTAAAATATCTGTTTGAGTTTCTCATTTTTAATTGGGTTATGTGTTTCTTATTGATTAATAGGCATTTATATATACTAGATATTAATATTTATAACTGGTTTTCTGTATCTTTTCAAAGAAATTTATCCTGAAGTCATAAAAATAGAAAGATTTCAGATTTTATTTTTCATTTTTAAGTCTTTGGTCATCTAGAATTGATTTTTGTGCCTGGTGTCAGGTAGGATCCAATTACCGCCCACCCCCACCACCCACCAATGCAGAAGCCAATTCATTGAATAGTGCATGTTAAAACAGCTATGTCATCTCTCAAGTTTCTGTATGTTCTTGACTCTGCTTCTCTAGCCTGTTCCACTATTCAGTTTGCTTATCGCTGTGCCGAAACAACAGTTTTCATCGTTCTAGCTTTGGCATCTACTAGGGCAAGTCTCACACCTTATTTTTTCTTCAGGAGTATCCTGTATATTCTTGGACTTTGCTTTTCAAGTAAATTTTAGAATTAGTTTTCCATTAAAAAAAAAAACTACTGGATTTTGATTGGAACTACGCTAAATCTATAGATCAAGTTGGAGAGAACTGAGTCTTCCTATTCTTGAACATACCATATTTTCCATTTATTTAGAATTTTAAAAATATCATTCAATAAAGTTAAAAATTTTTCCCTATGTAAGGTTTGTAACTTTTACTGGAATTATTCATAAATAGCATATTTTGCCTCAATTTTGTTCTAATTGTTGCTGGTATATAAAAATCCAATTTATTTCTGATATGGATCTTTTTCTTATATCCAACAATTTGCTAAGCACTCTTGTTACTTCTAATAACTTGTAGAGTCTGGACTCATACTGTATCATCGGTGAATAATAACATTTTTGTTTCTTTCTAATTCTTGGGCTTTTTTTTTTTTTTTCATTTTCTGACTGCACTGACTGGGATCTTTAGCATGGAGATGCGTAGAAGCATCAATACTAGGTATTCTTCCTAATTTTAAAGGACGTGCTTCTAAAGTTTCTGTTAACAATGGTGGTACAGAAACTGTGGCTTAAATCCATTTCACCTGCCTGCCGTCACTAAACAAGGTCATTTTAAGACTTTCACGTCCTCCTAACTTCGCTTAGCCTAAACAATAAGATGTTTGCCCAAGTTGTTTTCCAGGAACTTTGAGTCAGCTGTGTATAGTTTCACTGAGCTGAGTAAGACTGGATAGAACCAACTGGGCAATGAGATTGTTTATTTGGTGAACTTTTGACATCAGAGGGCCAAAACCTCTACCCTCTGCAGAGGTCCTTAGCCGAGTTACACCTGCGCAGAACAGCCAATTACCACACCTTTCTCCAATTACTTTTCCCCACGCTCCCCACGCACGCTCCCTACGCTGCCTTCGCCTCAGACCGCCCTGCTTCTTTATTGGCTATCCCACAAACACCCCAACGCTTTGCCTTCTGGGAAGTAGCCCTGAGGTTTGTCCTGTTGTTTCCTCGCTTGGCTGCCTTATGAAAAAGCGCTCTCTTTGCTGCGGAGCTCAGCGTCTTGGCGTTTTGGCTTCCTGGGCATCAGGCAAAATGAACCTGGTTGCGTAACAAAACGGTATGTATGATTTTGGTAGTTGCCCTTTTTGAAAGCTTAACGTCTATTCTTAGTTTGTTAGGAGTTTTTTGTTTGCTTGTTTGTCATTTTGTTTTTTAAATCATGAATGAGTGTTGCATTTTATTCAATTCTTTTTCTGTATGTATTGAAATGATCTTTTCTCGTTAATTTGTTAATGTGCTGACTACAATGTATATAATTGCCTGAAGTTAAACCAAATCTACATTCCTGCATTCCTATGATAAATCCAAGTTGATTACGATGTATTAATTTTTAAGTACATTGCTGTGTTTGGGTTGTTAGCATTTTGTGCCCATTTTCATGACTGAGATTGGCTTGTAATTCTTCCTTAATGTCCTTATCCAGTTTGTAATCAAGGCTGTACATGTGGCTTGCTCCCTCTTCAAGTCTCTGCTCAAATGTCCCACAGCAGAGCCATGGTGTGTTATTTCCTTAATGTAGTGTTGGAGTATGCTCAGGATTTCTGTTATTGTTCATAAGAGATATTGGCCGATATTTGTCTGTTGTGTTGCCGCCAATTATCAAATTTTGATAATAATGCCATATTTGCTTTATAAAAAGAGTTTGGAAGTTTTTCCTCATTTTCTACGCTCTGAAACAACTTAAGTAGTATTGCGACTCCCTGGTTCTGAATGTTTGAAACTCCTTTGTGAAATTATGTGAACCTAGTAATGTCATGTGGAGTAAGTAGTTCTTGATAGTTTTATTTTTTATTTTCTTCTGTATAAATTGGTCTTTCTAAGGAATTTTCTATTTCATTTTAGTTTTACAAATTTACCTGCAAAGAGGTGTATAGTTTCCTTTGATTTTTAAAAAATTCTTCTGTTAATAGTCATTTCCCTCATGTCTGTCCCTTCCTCCCTTCTCATTCCTTCCTCTCTTTCCATTTCTTCCTTCCTTCCCATTCCTAAGCATTTTTGTAACCAGGGTTTCTAGCTCAAGAACACCGTCAGTATAATGAAATGCAGTTTCTTTAAGCAATAATAGGGGAGAATAGGTTGATGTGTGTTGTTTCATTTAAGTTTCTGCAGGATCTTTTAATTTTCCCTCTAGTGCCCCTTAGAGCTATGAGAAAGGAAGACAGCCCTCCTTATCTGGTTCTCCACCAGAAGCAATGTCTCTTTAAGGCTACCACTCCTGGTCGTGCTTTCTTTCATACCCAGCTAGTATTGTAAACTACCAAGTCCCTGGCCAGTGACGGTGTTTTGACTCTTACTATTAGACTTTGTCTTTATGCTAGCTATTTTATCTGTGCTTCCTCTAGGTCTTCTGCTCCCCAGCCCTCTTTTTTGTAGTCATAAGCTTTCCCTCCTACAGGCTTGTTTGCACTCTACCCACAGCCTTGCAGCAGCATGACCCCTGTTGGAATTTGTTGTTTATTTCTCTACTAAAAGAAGTTCATTCTGTTTCCTGGTAATGCAGAGGGCATCAGTTATATGTGATTTTATTTTCGCTTTTTGTTTATCTTATGATTCTTGAGGAAGTATGAAGAGATTCAGATTCTGGGGGCCACCATTGACCTCCATGTGCCAAACTCTCCCCCAAATCTTTCCTTATTTTTAAAATATCACCAAAGATGTATCCATGCCATTAGTCTTTTTAAAAAATTTGTATGTTATTGATTTTTTCCTGTTAGTCTTAATTTTCTATTTCATTAATTTCTGCTTTATTATCTCCTTACCTCTACTTTCTTTTATTTTTCTTTTTCTAATTTTTTTACATTAGACCCTTAGAGTATTTGTTTTCAGCCTGTCTCCTTTCCAAGGTACTCATTTAAGATGACGAATTTCCCTCTATGTAGCTGAACTCTACAAGTTGTGATAGGATATATTTTCATTACCATGCAGTTCCAAGTATTTTAAAAACTTCATTATGAGTTCTTCCTTGACTTGTGAGTTGCTTAATGTGTGTTTTTAGCCTTTCAAGTAAATTTGGTTTTTAAAATTTATCTTTGGGATATTCTTACTGGATGATACCCCCTTAATCTGAATCACACCTATGATTTGAAATGTGTTAACCTAACGCAAGGTCTTTCTTAAAAATATTCTATCTGTGCTTGATAAGAATGGATATGCTGTAATTTGGAGGTGCTGAGTTCTAGATATGTCCAAGATGTATCAAGCTTTCTAATTGTGTCATTCAAATCTTTTATATCTTTGCTAATATCGTTGTCTCCTTGGTCTAGGAATAACTGAGGAGTGATTGGATATGTGTTAAAATCTGATAGGGGATTTATAAATTTTTCCTTATAGTGCTATTGGCTTGATTTTTGTATCTTGAAGCTATTTAATTAGGTGTGTGCAAGTTTAGAATGTATACATCTTCTGTCAGTTGGACCTTTAATCATTATGTGGGGACCCTAATAATGCTTTTTTATTAAAATTCTATTTTGTTTGATAGCAATGAAATTTTCCCACATTTCTTTAATATTTATCTATGATATCTTTTCCTGTTTACTTTCAAACTTTCCATATCCTTTTATATTTCATGTGTATCCAATTGTGTATATCTGGTTTTGTTTTATGATAAATATAATAATCTCTTTCAATTGGTAAGTAAGTTTAGTCCATTAACATTTACTGTGACTAACTCATACTTTTGGGCTTCCTACCAAATTTACTTGGTGTTTTTTTTTTCTCCTTAGGTTTTCTTTTTTTCCTTTTGTGCTTTGTGTTGAATGGAGTTTTTTGGTTTTGTTTTAATTTCACATTTTACTTTCCTCTACTGGCTTGGAAGTTACACACTAAATTTTTAGCTCCTGTGCTTTAACATTCACACAAAGTCTAATTTTTTTAACATTTTTTATTGATTTATAATCATTTTACAA